TGTGTGTGTGTGTGTGTGTGTGTCTGTGTGTTTGAAATCTCAATTTTAGGCTTTATACATCTAAACCTATGCCGACGATATGTTAATTTGTTTTCCAGCTGCCGTTTCTAGCCTTATTTGCTGCGATGTTTAGAAGCTTAGCCCAGGCTAAGACATTTCGAAGCCGGCCCGTTGTATTCCGTTTTGAAACTGCTATTTGTCAGCCGAGCTGGTGACTAACGCTGGTGGTGACTGACTCCAAGAAAAATGCACCGATAAATCTACAGAGATTGTCCTTGAACTTGTCCTCCATTAGAGACTGGGGGACGGGGTGATAGGGACACACGTGCGGGCTCTGGTGGGTTCAATAGCACCAACAAACGCCAACAGCAGAGCAAATGGTTAGAAGGCACCGCTGCTAGGTCTGGCGACTTCTTTTTCTCTACCGCTCTAGTTTCTGTGGGTTAAAAAAAAAATTGTTTACCTATTCCAAACATTGGATACCTGGAGATGTCATCTCTGACTCAGAGGTTGACGTGTAGTGACCCTCCTTCCTTCACGGTTGCGAGCTGCCGTTGCTCATTCTGCCATATCCAGGCCAAACACTGGGTGACCGTTATTGAGTCGATGTGCTTCTTTTTTTTCAAGCAAGCAAACAAACAAACAAACAAACACGTGTGTAGTTGTTGGGTCCTCTTGCGTGATCCTCTCTTTCTTTCCTAACCAATACCCATCATCCGGATCTCGTATCCTTCGTTTCTTCCGTATGTTACTTTCTAGTAATACATGTAAGCTTTGGCACTTATATTTAACCTATATGTGTTGCAGTCGCAGTAAAACTTACATATTTCTCCTTTTCTTCGCCTATTACTCTCTCGAAACACCCCCTTTTTTCGGCGCATGTATGACCTGTTTGTGTTGCCAGTGCTGTAAAACTCTCTAAAAGAAAGAAGTAAACAAACAGACAACCAGAACGGAATAGCGCGTTTCGTTTCTGTGCCGTAATCTGACCAGCCCCTTCTGTCGTTTTGCCAGTTCTGTGAATTAAAAAATAAAAACTGCCCGTCCCCATCTCCGCTGTAGGGTGAGCACGAGGCCGCCGTGGTCGTCCGTCCCTCCCTGATTGCGTTGGGCGGGAGAACAGGGAAAGGCCATTAGCCGGCCCTCACGTTGTGGGGACAGGCGTGCTGGGAGCTGGCCAGGCCAGGGGGCCGGCACCGACGACTCTCGCTTCTGAACATCTCAAGAAAAGGTTCCATGATGCTTGGGAGGGAGGGGGGTTGGGGGAAGTAGGGGAGTCCCGAATTTTTCACCTTCCTTCCTTCCTTCCTCCCTCCCTCCCTCCCTCCCTCCCTCCCTTCGGTCGGTCGGTCGGTCGGTCGGTCGGTCGGTCGGTCGGTCGTGACGATGCTCTGGTCTTTATCCATACTAAACCAAAGTCGCGGGTGGTTGGCGGGTACGTGCTGTGATGGGGTTTTCTTCTTCTTTCCTATCAAACATCTATCGTTCTTATCTCGACTTTTTTGGGGGTGTTTTTCTTATTCTTCTTGTAACAATTCAAAGGTGGGTGGTTGGAGAGCGCCATTTGTTGGTCCTACTTCTTTACTTTTAGACTATTGTTTCTGTCTGTCTGTCTTACTTTCCCCCAGCGCTTAATAACTATTATAGTGTCGACGTGCTTCTCTTTACTCGTACAAACACCTCTAAAATCTCAGGCACTGGTATAACCGTATTGTGTTGCCAGTGCCATAAAACACTTACTGTGGGTGGTTGGCGCGTGCTCTGGAGTGGTTTGCTCCTTCTTTCCTGTCAAACATCTATCGTCCTTATCTCTCCTCTTTTTTGTGTTTGTTGCCCTGCTCTCTTTTAACATGACCTTACTGTGTTGCAAGTGCTGTAAAACTCTTACTAAGACAAACAAAGTAACCAAACTCACACGTTTGTCATTGTGTTCTCTGCCTCAGACCGCCGTCCCGCATGTCTTCCAGCAGTGCCAGCTCCAACAGCAGCTCAGACGTCAGCTCTGACGAGGACGACGACGAGTCGAAGCCTGGAGACAAGTCGTCCCGCGCGGGCAGTAAGGGCAAAGCTTTGGCGCCCTCCGTCACTGCCTCCAGGGAGAGGTGAGCCTTCTTTTGCGTTTGTTTGTAGACAATTAGATAGATGGAGGGAGGGGGGAAGGAGAGAGAGAGAGAGAGAGAGAGAGAGAGAGAGAGAGAGAGAGAGAGAGAGATTTTTTGTCAGGCTGGCTCCATAAAGTTACTGCTGAGCAAAAACAAGGCTTCTAAAATAATACTGACATACAGGCTGGCAATTGGATTAATGTTAGTCATTTTAGGCCTTTTGTTTGTTTGTTTATTTGTGTATTTGTGTGGCGGTAACGTGTTTGAAAATGTTTTATGTGTCCAGCGCGTTCATTTGACAGCAGACAGTTGTGAGAGCAGTAAAACACCTAACAACCCCCCCAACC